TAGTAATAAATAGAAATGTGCGGGGCTTTACAATTTGCTTTTAAAAATACTATTAAGTTCAACATTTTCCTTGGTTTCAATTCAATTTTTTTCCTGTTAAGTACAAGTTAAATACTTTTGTTTGAAAAGTATTTACCTACTTTTAATGAGATTGATGATGTTTATGTCACTTAATACTTTTGCCCCAAATTTTCAAACATGAAAATTTAATTCTTCAACAGTCTTTAAAATATATAATTTTTTAAATAAAAGAAAACTTTGTAGGTACTTATTAATTTATAGTCAACATAATACAACATAATGTATAGCTTTTTTTTTGTTTTCAGTAACTTTCATGAAAACAAGTAAAGGTGTGATTGCACAAGAGAAGGACTGAAATTAAGTTGTTTTTAAAATATTGAAGAGAAAGGTTCAAGTTGTCAGGTGTTATCATGCAGGAAATAATTTCACAACTGGGATATTCCCCACGTTGTCATCATTACCACATCTTCCCCAAATTTGTTATTTTCTAAAACCCCTTTCCCGTACAAATCACCAAAATTCTTCCCCGTACTCATGGTTCCCGTCACAAATCTTCCAGAATGTGGCAACTTCCTCTTGTTTTTGTTTAGCCAATTACCTCATGCAATCAGGCTGAAATACTACATTTTCCCACTAGATGCCCCCCGTCAACAAGATGTCACGGTCCGAAATGTACTCAAATTTCAGAGGACCTAAAGTCAATAAACTTGGAAAAACTACATCTTTTAACTGGGCAGCTTATTAAGCAATACATACCGTCAATTATTTTTCTCGTGCAAGCCACTGATTAGTAGGCTGAAAAGTGTAATACGATTTTGTACAGAGACATTAAAACACAGATTCTCGTACACACACGCCCCCAGCCACAAAGTCCACACGCTCCTTACCGGTTTTGTCAATTAAGCTCTTTGGGGGCGGGGGGGGGGGAGAGTGTAAGTCCATATTATATCATAATACTGAATTCTAAGTACTAGTAGATACACACAGGCCTGTTTCAGTTTCCCACAAAATGACTGCATTCCTTGTGAATTCTGACCCCCCGTCAATTCCAGAACACGCGGAGGAGCCGCTCTCCTGAACGGAAGGGACTGGTTCCCGGGGCTGTCCTCGCTGTCCCCTTTCCCTGTGGTTTCTCACCGGCAGGCAGCCTGGCACCTACCCTTCTCCAGCGCCTCTAGATACTTCTCCTCGATGGCATTCAGGTTGTTCACGTAGGTCGCGTGGTGCTTGCTGTGGTGCAGCTGCATGATCTGGGCGTTGATGTGAGGCTCCAGGGCGCCATAATCGTACGGCAAGTCGGGGAGGCTGTGCTTCTGTCTGGAAGCCAGCGACCCCAGCGCCGGCACCAGCGTCCGGCTCGTGCTGGAAAGAGAGCAGACGCAGACCGATTCGCTCACGCGTCTACGCAGACCCAGCGCCATCTGGGCCTTTCTACCGCTTGCTCGCTCGCCCTCCACATTCGCTGAAGCTTTAAACCAACGCGGCAGCCCTGCGCCGCGGCAGCACCGGGACGCGCTCAGCGGACACCTGCCCTGAGGCAGGGCCGCCCGCC